TTTTCTAATACATTTGGGTGCATATATTAGAAGTGTATGGCATTGGTTCCTTCTTAATTTCTCTTTATGCCAGTCAGGACTGTACCAGTAGCAGCAGTTGACTAAACCCTTTTTTATCCCTTTTTCTCCTTCGTTAACTCTCAAAATTGATAGAAGTTACCGCCACTTTTTTTTCATTTGGTACTTCGAACATGGGAATTCATTATGGACAAGTTGAATGACGCATAGATCCTTTAGTCTAATTGCAGTAGGACATGAAACCTTTTAAAAAACAGTAGTCACACAATGGTTTTTGGTCGTTCACTACTAGCGTACAGTGTATATTATTTGTTTCCTGCTCGTCCTCTTTTAGAAAGTTTACTTTATTTTTTTTAATAGATAAAAATTTTTATTTAAATTTTCACTGTTGTAAAAGACTGGGAGAGAGAGGAGAGGAAGCGGGTGAGAAATCATGTCTGTTTTTGCTAACTTTTAGATCCAAGTTGGTGCACTGAGCACTTGCCCGAGAAAATGTGTTGCATCAGGCTCGGAGGTTTCAAAAATTTTGGAGGACAGGATTCTCGGACATGAAACGAAACTTAATCTTGAAGAAACCGGAAAAGTTCTTTCTATTGGTGATGGTATTGCCCGAGTTTACGGCCTAAAAAATATTCAGGCAGAAGAGATGGTTGAATTTGACTCGGGGATGAAGGTTTATTATCGTTTTTCTTTATCTTGGCTTATCGCCACTGTTCTTCTAAAAGAATTTATTTTTGGCGACAGTGGGGGTTCAATTTTTTAGGTAGTAGTGTACTTATTTATTAATATAAATTTCTTGAATTTTAATCACTTTAGGGTATGGCTCTGAATTTGGAACACGACAATGTTGGTGTTGTCGTTTTTGGCAATGATAAAGTTATCAGGGAGGGGGATATTGTTAAGCGAACTGGTGCAATTGTTGACGTCCCTGTTGGTGAAGCTCTTCTCGGCCGTGTAGTTGATGCTTTGGGTTCTCCAATTGATGGTAAGGGTCCGATAAAAGCAAATGAACGGTCACGTGTCGGTGTGAAAGCACCGGGGATCATCCCTCGTATAGGAGTGCGTGAACCCATGCTTACTGGTGTTAAAGCTGTTGATTCGCTTGTCCCTATCGGTCGTGGGCAGCGTGAACTGATCATTGGCGATCGTCAGACTGGGTAAATTTTGATTTATCGCATTACACCGTTTTATTTTTTTTTCCATTCCCAGCTCCTTTCGCAAATTGATTGCTAAAAATTTTTCACCTTTTCCGTTGGGTTAATGTTCCGGTTCTTTAATGATGTGTATGAAAGTCCTTATCTAGTCACTTCTTCTTCACTATCCTTTTTTGCCTACCTTTATGTACTGTTCTTGTAAAACTATTTTTTCTAGCAAAACTGCAATAGCCATTGACACAATCATCAACCAGAAACGTTTCAATGATGGAAGTGATGAGAAGAAAAAGCTCTACTGTATTTACGTTGCCATAGGACAAAAGCGATCTACTGTAGCACAAATAGTTAAACGGTTGACCGATGCAGGAGCAATGAACTATACTATTATTGTGTCTGCGACAGCTTCGGATGCTGCTCCTTTGCAGTATTTGGCACCATATTCGGGGTGTGCTATGGGAGAGTTCTTCCGGGATCATGGTAAACACGCTCTCATCATCTATGATGACCTGTCGAAACAGGCTGTTGCGTATAGGCAAATGTCTTTGTTGCTGCGTCGGCCACCGGGGCGTGAAGCTTACCCAGGAGATGTTTTCTATCTTCACTCTCGATTACTTGAGCGTGCAGCTAAGGTGAGGATATTTTCTGGAAGCATTTCAGGCATTCCGTGTGTTCTAAGTTCTCAAAGTTTAATTCAAAGCGGGAGTGTTAAGATTTTTTCTTTATTCAGTTAATGGAAGCAGTTAAAACTGTGGATGCGAAGAAGACGCTGCAGATATGATTTAATACTGACAATTACTTCAGATGAACGATTCTCATGGTGGCGGCTCGCTTACTGCCTTGCCAGTTATTGAAACGCAAGCTGGTGATGTATCAGCATATATTCCAACAAATGTGATCTCAATTACTGATGGACAGATATTCTTGGAAACTGAACTGTTCTACAAAGGCGTGCGGCCTGCAATTAATGTTGGTCTCTCAGTCTCTAGAGTGGGTTCTGCAGCGCAGACCAAAGCTATGAAACAGGTATGTTTCCTTAAATTTGGCACATTGCATGCTTTTACCACAACCGCATTAGTCCTACACGGTTTATGTTTTTTTATTCGGGGTTTGGTTATTGATGAAAGTAAAATTTGCTCGTAGTAATCGAGAAGGTTCGCAGCTCGGGGTACCAACGTTGGATGAGAGACGAAGAATCTCCTGTCGTAGTGAGGAAGGCAGTCAAAGAATAAAGGATTAAATGTGAAGCAAAAAGTGTTGTGGGAGGACTTCTCAATCCTATTTTGAATGCATTTGAGATCAGTTTTTAGCAGCGCATAGATATTTGTACCTTGTTTAGCTTGTGGTGCTGTATTTTTGTGATCCCTTCTTTTGAGAGGACCTTGCTTAAATATAAAATTGCTAAATTGAAAAGAGGTGTAACTGTTCCTCGAATCAGCAAAAAAGTTTTTTTTATTCCAGCGCAGGTTTTTGTGGGTTTAATGATTTTAAGATGAAGTTGTATCATTATCCAATCAAACTTTTAGGTCGCTGGTTCTATGAAATTAGAATTAGCGCAGTACCGTGAAGTTGCTGCTTTTGCCCAGTTTGGTTCTGATCTTGATGCTGCAACTCAACAGCTTCTCAATCGTGGTGTCCGTCTCACTGAACTGCTGAAGCAGGGGCAGTATGTACCTATGGCAATTGAGGAGCAGGCAAGTGACAACTGAATTGTACTGTTTTGAATGAGATGATACTGACGGTGCAGTTTGGTTATGGTAATAAGTCTTTTCAGGTTGCTGTTATATATGCAGGTGTCAGAGGGCATCTTGACAAGTTGGACCCGTCGGTGATAACGAAATTTGAAAGGGCCTTCTTGGCGCATATCCGACAATCCCAACAAACTTTATTAGGAACGATTCGCGAGGAGGGATCAATATCGCCGTCAACTGAGAAGAAGTTGAAAGAACTTGTTACTTCATTCCTTGCAGGATTCAAACCATAATTTAGGTCTTTAGCATTTAATTGTTAACTCATTGCTGCGCTTCGGAGTTGACATTAACAGTGAGCTGCATTGAAAGTCAATCTTCAGATGTGTACTGTGGGCATTAGTACACTTCCCGCGGCTTCCAGCTCCGGGTGTGGCTTTCATGCGCAATGTTTTTAGAGTAGTGTTTGTATCTGTACCATTTAAGAGTTTTAAAGATTGAATAAATTGAACCCTTGTAGTTAGACAGATAACAGCCTCTAACACCTGTTAGTGTGGTCCAGTTCTTCAACAAATCCAAACTGAGTGAAGTGTGATACGCATGTTTACAGACCCCGCTGGATTGAGTCACACTTGTCTCAGTGTCGCTATTAGGAGAACCACACCGCGGCATAAGAGATATTAAGAACTTTTGCAGTGTAAGCCGTTCACTGTTGCCGTCCTGGGGACGCCAATATGATATCGGCAGCGTAACTGTGAAAGGTGCTAGCAAATTTATACTGGCCATCAATTAAAGCCGCATCTAATTACAACAGGTCAGACTACCTCAATACTACACTACAGCGCAAAAGAATACTGCAGAAGGAACTAATGACTTACACAGTCGTAGCGGAACAAATGGGAGTTATATTAATGTGTGTAAGAGGTGACAATGAGATGAATATATGTATATGTATATATATGAACAAGAGTCTTGGTCATAAATGGTAGCTCAGGAACTTGACAGTGGTAGATCAACGGTGACTTGAAGTAAAATGAATTATCACGAAAGAAAGACTTCCAAAAGTCTTAGTAAGTTGCGAGGCGCTGAAAGACTAGTTCTATTTCACCGAGCTTCTAGTAAAAAGCAATAGAGGTTCATAATATCTTCCAGTTATGGAAGTGAGGTAGAACAAAGGTATGGAACAATAATTATCTACGAGTCACATAATTTAAAGCTGTTGGTTCTCCGGATACAGTGATAGTCTTGTTGCCCGCATCCAGAGCATGATGACTGTTCAACAAACAGATAGAAATTCCCCTAAAATTTAACAAGAGCTCTATTTTCTTGATTCTTAAAAATGTAATATATTCATATACGAAAAAAA